GTGTTTTAAGATAGCGCATCGGCCGGAAGTCAAATGGCGCACGTAGATGCACTTAGCCGCAGCATGACGTATGCTAATGCATTACCGTTGGAAAGAGAGCTCGAATTTCGGTAGTTATCGGACCCCAGAATAATAGAGATCAGTCGCGAATTAGAGAATAAAGATAGTGAAAAGTTTCAATTGGTTTATAGAAAGGAACAGATTAGTTTATAGACAGGAAGAGGGAAATTTAAAACTTGTAGTGCCCGAAGCCATGGTACACCATTTAATTAGAGTACACCATGATGACATGGCACATTGTTCGAGAAAACATTGGGTTCGAGAAAACATTGAGAAGAATAAATCAGAATTTTTGGTTCCCAGTTATGCGTAAAAAGGTAAACGACTACATTGAGAATTGTCTTACACGTTTCATGGCTATTTAACTCGCCCCATAGATTCGAGGGGGAAACATGTCTGTTTCCCATGCCGCTATTACGTCCACAATAGGTAACTATATAGGGAAATTCGAAAGTAGTAAAATCAGTAACTTACGTGGACGACCAACAGAGTGATGACTCCACTTTTGGGTCACTTTGTTTTTACACTAGGTCTCCGGAGTCTGGCGAAACGATCGATGAATCTGGTGAGAGACCAGCGCTGTTCGTTCTTCTAGCTCGGTCTCAGCGCTGCGCGGGATGATGCGGCCCGCGATTCTTAATTTAGGTTTTGCAATGTTCGAAGTATAGAGGATGGGCAAGAGTAATTACTACATGTTTGGACATTAAGACTGATATATTACGAGACTGATATATTACCAGCGAAAATGATTACAAGAATGATTATGAGAAAATGATCGCCTTCCCTACCGATGCGCGCGTTTTTACACGTTCGCTTTATTGCTGAGAGTCGTTTTCTGATTGGCTGATGGAGTCATGGAGAGGGAAGAGATTCATTCTATCAGTATGATGTCACCGCATCGGTGTCCTGAGTGGTGTTTGGATTCAGTTTTCATGCTCCTGTTTATGTTAGCAACAGGACTTCTTATCGCACTGAGCGATTACGGTTTCTCTAGGTTGATCCATCGATTTTTAAGACTCTCTAACGGCACGCAGCATTCGGCATTATAATTTTAATTATGTTTTAACGCCCGCGAATATACACATGCGCACGTATTTATGTCTATTAATATAGGGATAAAATATCTAGTGATGTCTGAAATCAGACAAGTCGGCCTCCGGTCTATAATAATATATTATTAATGTTTTAAAATAGATCCGGACGTTACACCGCAAGCTTCGTTGGATACGTTGCACATAGATTTTTTGGGCCTTTGCCGGAAACGAATGATCGTTATCATCACATATTAGTCATGATCAATACTTACACGCGATTTACATGGTTAACGCCGACAAGAACGACGTACGAAAGGCGCGATAGACGCTTTACAAACAATTTTTGCTAATTTCGGAAAGCCAGCGGAAATAGTGTCGGACCGTCATACCGGATTTGCATCTAAAAAGTTCGGGTCTTACTTAGAGAATCATCAGATAAAGCATCGTAAAGTTACCGTGACGTCCCCGTGGGCAAATGGTATCGTGGAACGTGTCAATCGATTCCTGAAAAGCTCACTAATTAAAGCGTTAGCTCGAGTGGACGAGTGGAAGGATCGTCTGGGTGCGCTGCAATATATTATTAACAACACCTATCATACGGCTATCAAAGCAAAGACGTCGCAGTTGTTGTTGGGATATGATCAGCGTAGTCGTGGGGATTCAAATCTTGTCCGTTTTACTCGTGTTTTGACCGAGATAGATTTTGATCCGGAGAAAACCCGTCAAGCAAATAGGGACGAGGCGCAACGTGCCACTCAGTTATTAAGAAAATATAACAAAGAATATAGGGATAAAAGACACAAAGGGCCGTATTCATAGTCCATTCCTAAGATCGCGCTTAAGATCGTCTTAATAAAGATTATCTTATTCACTTAAGGTTGTCTTAAGATATTATCTATTCATAGTTAGAATATAAGATAATCTTTGTAATGAAATTAGTTTTAAGTAACGACTTATTTCATTTGAATTAATCTTGACAACACTTAAGATGGCTTCATTTCAACTTCGGGTAAATTCGTAATATTTCCGTTGGATCAAAGAATAGGAAACATGCTAGTTCAGCAGTACATCTAATAAGAACAGGCCCATATTATTTTTTACTAGTTTGTACCTAACCTTAATCTTGAGTTGTCTTTTGAAGCAGTATAACAATTAATAATGTGGATAAATGTAAAAATAAGTCAAAACATTTTACATCATTCGAAAAAAAATTATTTTTATACATATTAAAACAGTACAAACATATAATAGAAATAAAGAAAAGTGATGGTACTACGCTAAAGGAGAAAGAAGCAGCTTGGTCGGAAATATGCAACCAATACAATGCATCGCAATTAACAACACAAGAGGTAAAAGAATTATGTGAAAAATTGAATCGGCACTTATTGATACAAATATTTATTGATTAGATCTTTATATATTGTTGTTATAATAACTAATTACTGTTGAAGAGAAATGTTCAGCAATTAAAAAAGTTTTGGGCAAACCTGAAACAAAATCAGAGAGATGCTTTGACTAAAGAAAAGCAAAATGTAATGGCAACAGGTGGAGGACCATCAATTAAATCACTGGAAATTAATCCCGACATATATCAATGATATCCCGCTATAAATGATAGCGCCAAACTTAATGAAAACTGCACCATCAATTTATTCTTCTAATTTAGATGAACAAGAACTAGAAAGTATTTATATCTTTCATAATATTAAAATTTATCACTACATATATCATAGATAAATAACATTTTTTGATGTACACATATATTAATTACATGAGTCAATATAATACAGTATCTAATAGAAATATTCTATATTTTCAGAAAGAGAAACACAAATAACAAATTATGTAGCTGCTCATGATCTTACAAATATCGAAATGTCATTCTCAGAAAGTGATATAGTTAATTTAGAAGGCAACCATGACAACATGTTTTATAACAACAACAAGGATGATGACATTTCTAATAGTAAGTTTGATGTTATTATCTATCCTACAGAAATTTATTACTGCTAAAGCAGTAATTGATTACTTATTTTTAGTATTTAATACATTGTTATTAATAACTCTTGTTAGTAGTAGAATTTAATAATTTGTAATTATTAAATTCTAAAGCTTACAGTGATCCCTAATATTTCAGCGCTAGGGTTGCAGTAATTAAATATTACCTTATCATTAATATAAATATTTAAATGCTAATATTATACATAATAATATAGTGATGAAATATCCTTACAGAAATATAATATGAGAAAGAAATAAAATCAGAATTACTGAATTATTTTTCCATGATTAAATAATGAAAAAGCAATGGAAGTGCAGCAGGTAGTGAGCATATAGCAAATGATCCAGTATCAGAAAATCTAAGATGTTTGGCTGCTAAGTAGATAGCTCTAGTTCTAGAATGACATCTGTATCCGTAATTTTTTTCTCTTTTTTTTCTTTTATTTTATTATTAACACCTATAAAAACATAAATAAATAATACGCATATATTTGTTATATATAATTTGAAATATATTAATCAACAGGATTGGGAATTAACGCGTTATTTGTAACGACGTTACTATTTCGTTACTTTTTTTTGGTAACGATTTGGTAACGCCGTTACTTTTTTGTATCAGTAAAGTAACGGCGTTACATTTTCTTTAGTAACGAGTAACGAAATTCATCGTTACTTATATCGTTACTTTTTACTATGATGGCTTCTGTACACAGAACGCGGCAACGCTTGTCACGTGATAAAAGTTTGTACATGATAAACAATTAATGTGCTGCTTTCCGTAAAGCCCATTCTACAATAAGCAATAAATCTTAAGTCATAATAAAATTGACCAATCATAGTCGACTATTAGAAGAATAATCCATTGTAATTGGTCAATTTTATTGCGACTTAAAATTTATTGCTTATTGTAGAAAGCCTCTAAAGCGTGATCTACAATAAGAACTTAAGCCATAAAATTTAAGCTTTAATCTCTAAGCTGTAAGAAATTATTTTTCTTATAATTGACTGTGATTGGTCAAATTCTTACGGCTTAGGATTTAAAGCTTAAATCTTATGGCTTAAGTTCTCATTGAGAACTCAAGACCACACTTAAGGGGCGTCGCACACGAATTGACAGTAACGTAAGACGTACCGTAAGAACTGATCAATCACTTTGAGTATCGTCGAACCGTAAGGTCGCCATTTTTGTGAATACTCGATTGTAACTGGTCCATTTTTACGGTACGTCTTACGTTACTGTTATGTCAATTCGTGTGCGGCGCCCCTAAAGCCCATTTTACATTAGTCGCAATCGCAAGATCGCAAGGAAATTGTACCAATCATAATTGATTATTCTTCGATCGCAAGAAGAACAATCGACTATGATTAGTCAATTTCTTTGCAACCTTGCGACTTGCGACTAATGTAGAATGGGCTTTATGTCGTTATGCAATAATGTGTGCATCCCGCTTAAATATCTTATATTTTGTCTTTATATATGTATAATTTATGTACTGTCTCTTCTACTATTCGTTTTATATGCCGATTTTAACTTTTTTTTTTTACAAAAGTAACGGAAACTAACGATTTTTTTTTATCGTTACTTTTCAAATAACGGTAACGCGTTACTTTTTAGAATCAGTAACGAGTAACGGTAACGAGTTACTTTTTACCACAAGTAACGGTAACGGTAACGCGTTACTTTTAAAAAGTAACGTTCCCAACCCTGTTAATCAATGATTAAATATTGGATAAATAATGACTGAAATGCTGTTATTGAATTAATGTAAGTTCTTTAATAGTTCTCAGAATTTAATTTCTGTAAGGATATAACCACATATGCTTATTAAAAAATTAATTTGCTTGGAGAATTAATAGTTTTGTTATCATTACAGAAGAAAACGTTATACCTACTATACAGATAAAGAAATGTATACAAATGCACCATTACAATTATCAGATACTTCAACCATTGACACCACACCGAGTACCAAAGATATTGTAACAAGTGGTATGTATTAATATTTAAATAAATCATATATTTTATTACATTTTATTTAATTAATCAAAATTGGTAACGATAAGCGTGTACAAAAAATATTTTATTGTTTCATACTTTTGTAGCTTCGAAAAAGACACGGCAGAGTAGAGAGAAAATGTCTTTCAATCGTAGAAAACATGCAATTTCCAGCAGTGATTATGAAAATAAAACGTCAACGAAAATACAAAGAATACAAAAAATTCTTGAGCAAGAAATGGAAATAAATTACTTAAAAATGGAGCACGAAAAAAAATGTGCACTTTAAAAGAACAACATTTAATCAAAATGCAAGAACAGGAATTACGTGCAGTTATTACTGCAGCAGAAATGGCTGAATTGCAACTAAAATTAGAGATTAAAAAGAATGAGAATAAATAGTTAAAATAATAATTTAATACTCCTAGTTTTATTCCCTTATAGAAATATCATACTAAGAATCATTGATAATTACTTATTTTCAGTATTAAAAATACTGGATAATAAGTAATTATCAATGATTCTTAGTATGATATTTCTATAAGGGTTACGTTACGCGAAGTTTGTTATTAAGTTTATTTTGTGATGTCTTAAGTATTATAAAGATTGAATTTGAAATGACACTAATATTATGTTGATTAAAATGAAACTAATATTATATCGCAATTAAAACACAATGCGTGAAATATAATATATTATTTATAGCGCGAGTATATAGATTATTAGGTAATTATTTAGTTTACCGATTATTATTATAAAAATTATTATGAAGATGAAAGTATTGAATATTGAAGATTATTTGAAAAAGTGCAAAAAATGATTTATTTATAACTAATAAGTATTAAAAATGGTATGCTTTAATAAATATTAAAGAACTGTTTATTTTATTTCTGAAGATTTATTAATATTGTAATGCATTTTACATATTTTATTATATTTGTTATATTTGTTTTTCAAATATATAGATACAAGTACATTTGCTACGAAAAGTTTTTATAAATATGTTAGTTAATAAAATAATAAATATATGTTAATTTGACATCGCTCTTTTTGTATTTCAAATGTTTATTTTAAAGAAAATTTTAAGTTCAGTTTCCGTATATATGCATATAAGAAAGAATGTATATTTTATGCAATAAACGTGTATATAAAATATATATTTCCGATTTCCTAAATTAATAATAATACTGCAACATGAAGATTTGCAATAAAGATATAAAAGTCTTTTATTCTAACCACTGGTTTTGTACATCATAAATTTTAATGACAAAGTTATAACATCTTTTTTTTATACTTATTATTGAGTGAATAAATGACTTCTTTTATTCTGTAAATAATAAAAATATTGTTATATTAATGGCAAAGTAAACGTTTGTAATTAATAAAATATTTTACTTACTTTTGTTCATTTAATTAAATAAACGCTCTATAAGAGTATCTCTCATGACAAATCCATCTGCCGGTTGCCATTCTGGATAATTAGCATGATTCTCTTCATTATCATTATCATTATCAGAAAAAATATTATCGTCTTCATCATCTTCCGGTAGTATATAATCGTAGGTAAGAGAAAGATTATGCAAAACTGCTACAATAATTGTTGTACAGCATATCAATTTTGTTGTAAGCCCTCGTGCTAAACAAGGAAATCGCCGTTTCCACATTCCAAATGTTCTTTTCACGATTTGTCTAGTTCTTACATGGATATTATTATATGCTAATTGTTCATCTGTTATTGGATTTTGAACAGGAGTCAAAAGAAATGGCAGACAAGAATAGTCACTATCACCAACTAATATGCCAGTTAATTCACGTCTTATATATCGCATATAAATTCTAGAATTCTGAAAGATACGACTATCGTGTTGACTTCCTGGCCATTCTGGTACAATATCAAGGAATTCCATTTGTAGTCCAACGATAGCCTATATAAATATGTATTTACAAAAAGCTTTTTTATAACTATATTTTTAAATTATAAAAGTGAATTCTATTAGGTATTCCATATAAGATTGTGACGTGGCGATTTCGCCGTCACCGAGATTAGCCGGGAGACGAGGAGAGCTGTGCTCGCGCCCCCTTCTTCCGCGGGAAGGGCGGCTGCGAAGAATTGGTCTCGCACGCTTTTGCGTGCGAGATCGCGTTATTATAATTTTTTTTGTTTTTTTTGTTTGTTTTAATTGTGTGCTCGGGCTGCGACGATAACGACGAAGTGCAGCGATCGGAGCGAGGAGACGGCGGACCTGCAGCAGACGACACGCCAAGCGGGGCAGGATCCACCCCTCGCTACCACAAGCGACAGGGGCCCCGACTAACTTGCCGCGGGGCGCCAGGAAGGGCTGAACCTTGAGGACCAGATCCCGGGGGACGCCCTGGGATACCTAAAGCTTCCAGCAGCCACCTGAGCGTCCACGCCAGTTAGAGCTGCCGTCAGACGCAGGATTCCGTCGACACGGAATCAGAGAATTCGGCGGTGTCGCGCGGGCCCTGTAAGGCGCCCGCGCTAGAGCCGTGCGTTCCCGCAGGACCAATGGGACCTAGCGGCGATCGGCGGCTGATACCGCGAGCTAAGGAACCTCGCGCTCGCGGAAAGATTCGTCACTGCGAAAGATTCGTCTGTGCGAACAGCGAGCGACGCGAGAGCGGTGGCAATCCGGCGAGCGAGCGAACGACCAGCAAGCGTGAAAACTACCAGCAAGCGAGCGAACGACACCGCAAGCGAGCGGACGAGCCGTACAACGAGAGATCGGACGAGGAACAAGGGGCGAGCCCAGCAAGGGATTTTTGGTGAGCTGTCTTCTGCCTGTCGTTCAGTCCGAGCGCCGAAGGACCGAGATGGTTGCCGTCGCTTCACGACGGCAGCCGGAAGGGTTCGTCTCCATCCTTGACGAACCGTCCAACCTCGCGAGAGAATAGCCGTCCTTACCGCGCTGCCTGCTGCCGCTTCACCGCGTTTGCGACCGCACAGTACGGCGAGCGAGTGCGTAGAAATTATGACGACTCGCGATTATTCGTAGAAAGTGCGGGCCTCCGAGAGTGGCGAGAAATACGCGGTTCGCGACGAGACAATTAGGGCCGGGATGCACCCGGCTGGCGCCCAATGCAATAATTAGCGTGTAACGAGAGAATTTCGCGAGCCTCGTGCCGTTCGAACTCCGCGAAGCAGAAGGATCCTCGACTACGGATCCGGCGGCCGAAGGATTTCGCGACTACGCGACTCGGAGCCCGCATAGCGTCTTTGTAGTATCTTTCTTTGTTGTTTTTTTTTTTTTTGTTAAATATAGCGTAATGTTAAACGATATGTGTGTTCATTCGTGATTCCTCCGACTCTGTCGCCTGTTCCTCTCGTGTCGCACGAAGGAAGGTCGCGCGTCGACACAAGAACCCCGCTGCTCTACCGAGTTAGATATTTTTTTTGAGAGCTGCCGGCAAGCTCGGCCATCGCCGCAACGGCGGAGACGAAGTTTTGGCCGTATTCTCGCGTATAACTAACGGAGAAACGGTCACAATATAAAGTATAAAATATAAGAATACATACTTGTACATTGAGAGAAAAATACCCTTTGCGATTCCTGTATACTTCTTCAATATTTGTTAACCTACAATGAGTTAAGCGAACATGAGTACAGTCGATAGCACCGTCAACTCCAGGTAACCCAATAGCTCTGTTGCCGTATCCCAAGTTCCGAAATAAAGTACGGTTTCTATTGATTTGTTCTATAGAAGAAGGCATTTTTATAACACGGCGGATATTTCCAGCAAGTAATATTGAAACACGAAAAATTATCTTTGAAAGACTAGATTGTGATATGCTTATTATGTCCGCTAATACTAACTGTAAATAATAAAATTAATTAATATTAAAATATGCATTCATATGTGACATATATATATATATATATATATATATATATATATATATATATATATATATATATATATAT